CTCCTTCTTCTCCTCCTCCTTCCTCCTCCTTTCTTCTTCTTCCTCCTCTTCTTCTTCTTCCTCTTCTTCTTCTTCTCCTCCTTCTCCTTTCTTCTTCTTCCTCCTCTTCTTCTTCTTCCTCCTCCTTTCTTCTTCTTCCTCTTCTTCTTCTTCTTCCTCTTCTTCTTCTCCTTCTTCTTCCTCCTCCTCCTTTCTTCTTCCTCCTCCTTTTCTTCTTCTTCTTCTTCCTCTTCTTCCTCCTCCTCTTCCCTCCTCCTCCTTCCTGCAACCCCACCCTCCATTCTAGCCCTGATGATGTTCCCTAATGGGGTCATGAAACGGCTGCAAGGAGACCACCCAGCCCAGAGACCCCCAAGGACCCCACAGTCTTCCTTTTTCCTTCCTTCCCCTTTTCCTCCACTCCGCAAACCCCACTCCGTTTCAAACCCTGGTGACAGTTACCCAGAGGGGTGGGGGGGGTGGGGGGGTCACGAAGCAGTTCTGCAAGGAAACTGCCTGGCTCAAAGAACACCCGGGGGACCCCACGAAACCTTTTTTTTTTTTTTAAAGAGCACGGGAAAAAGAAACCACCCCTCCAAGGCTCTCCTTGCCTGGATGGCTCCTGTAGGCTCCTGGGGAATTGTCCAAGATGACGATGCTGGACAGGTCATTGTGGACCACCGAAAGGTCTTTGATGTAACTGCCCAGTTCCAAAGTGCAGTGCTGGTGGGGGAGGGAGGAAAAAAACAGAGACAGGGTGAAAAAAACAACAACAGCTGAGCGGGACGGAGGGCAGCTCGGGAGCCCTGGCTGGGGTGGGGGCCTCGGGCTCCAGGTGAGGGGGAAGGGGTCCGTGTGGCCACTCACCTGCCTGTAGTATCTCCTCCTGAGGATGCTCCTGTTGTTGTCTAGCTTGTCTGCTACAGCCGAGCCGTAGATTTCCATGCTGGCTGTGAAGACCACAAGCTCGTACCACTGGCTCACCTGTGAGAGAGGAGGAGGAAGGGAGGAGGAGGAGGAGGAGAGGGAGGAGGAGGAGGAGGAAGAGGAAGAGGAGAGGAAGAAGAGGAGAGGGAGGAGGAGGAGAAGGAAGAGAGGGAGGAGAAGGAGGAAGAGGAGAGAAAGAAGAGGAGAGGGAGAGGGAGGAGGAGGAAGAGGAGAGAGAGGAAGAAGAGAGGGAGGAGGAGGAAGAGAG